AACTGCATCACTCGTTGCTACACCCGCAGGGGCAGGTCTCTACCCTGTCCACCAACCGCACATTCAAGCAGGAGTATGGCCGCCTCCACGGCTTTCATGAAGAACATACCGCTACGGGACATATGCCGTGCAGCTACATGGTCGTCTTCATCCACGTTTGCTCGACATTATGCCCTTGACCGTCTCAAAGCGGCAGACATAGCAGTCGCTCAGGCAGTTCTTTCTTCTGTGCGCAAGTAATTCCGAAGCACGACCAGCGGTTAAAGGACTGCTTCATACTCACCTGTAGTGGAGCACCCATGGGGACATCACTCGAAGAAGAAGAAATTGTTACTCACCTTGTGCAGTAACATCTGTTCTTCAAGATGTGTGTCCCCATGGGTGCTCCACGACCCGCCCTCCTCCCTGCTTCGGAGCTCTATTTTGTCCCTTTCAGATGTTCCGGCTAGGAGGAACTGGCGGGTCGGACCGCGCGACGCAGAAAAGGCGCGAACGCCGCGGGACACTCTGCACATGCACGGTCCTCCGGAGGGGGCTACTGCTAGCAAAAACTTTCCGGTTTGCGGCGCCGGGACGAGCCCGACATCTGTAGTGGAGCACCCACGGGGACACACATCTCGAAGAACAGATGTTACTGCACAAGGTGAGTAACAATTTCTTACTGGCACATATCAAATCTCGGTCTTGAATTCTTAAAAGATCAAGCACTGATAGAAGGTACATGCATGATGCAGATGTTCTGTGTGTGTGTGTGTGTGTGTGTGTGTGTGTGTGTGTGCACGCGCAAGTGAGAGAGCAAGCGTGAGAATGAACACCCCCTCCGACAACCAGCGGCAGATATAGGGCAGGATGAGTGGGGCGACTGCCCCGGGCCCCACACTTCAATAGGCCCCGTGGCAGTATTAGCATGTGCATGTGTGTGCACACCTGCATGTGTAAATACATGAACAAATCATGATGCAGATTCGATAGATATTTCAGCCTTGATCCTGAGAGATGTTGTATTCAGTATCTGCCAGGATTGGGATCTATATAACTATAAAGTAAAACTAGGATGGGTTCGTGTTTCTAGTACATTTTTTGCCAAGCTCTTGATTCTTTTTTGTATTCATAATGCACAGCACACTTCATTATTACTGTGGTTTCTATTGTGGTACCATATAATTCTTCTCTTTTAAGAATGCATCACATTCTGTCAAGCTCAAGTTGTTGTGTCTGGCCCTCAGAGAACTCTACAGATAATAAACTGTGAAGTCCAAGCGTAGTTGGATGTTTATTGTAAAACCTACGTTCTTGTTACAGCCGTAGCTGATTTCCCCATTGTGAATGCTCACCAGGCTGCTATTCTGGATCCAAACCTTTGATCCCACATGATTTTAATCTTACTCAGTTTGAGCAGCTCACTTTAGTAATCAAGGCACACTGTTGGGGAACTGACTCAGAGTCTGGTACCCTTATAAGAATGTGGGGTCCATAGCACAGCTAACTTAGGCCCCAAGGATCACTGCTAAGTCAGGACACCCCAGAAGCTTATGAATACACACTCATGGGCACCCTGGATTACTGTTTCATTCTTTGGGAAGACTGATAATTAGAGAGAGACTGTCATTAGTCAATGTCATTGAAGGCTTTTCTCTGCACCCCACTCATTACTCATAGACAAGGAAAGAGATATATAGATCCATGGGCAGATAAGTAATATGCACACGCAAGTTTCCTCACCTCTACCCAGAGCCCTTTCTACCTCAATCAGTATCTTTCAGGGCATCCAGAGCTGTGTTATTCCCTCTCCTGCTGAGTCTTATCTTCTGCCTCTGGTCTGCTGCCTCTTGCTAGGAAAAATATTTTTTGAACAGCAATTTGAACATCTGGGCTCATCTTGTCCTTCTCCTGGGCTCTTCTGTGGGCTGCTACCTCTGACCCTCTATCTTCACAAAAGCAGATAAGTCATTAGCCCTTGAGTGGTAGTCTCCATTAACCTGCTGAGGCAAGGTTATTCATTTGTTGATGATTCTAATCACTGTCCCATTCAGGGTGAATCTTCCAGGTGCCAGTCTCTTCCCTCTTAAAACAGTGATTGTGCCAGGATACAGTGTAAAACATCAGTAAGATATAATGCAGAGTTAGTCAGTAGGTGGAACATGGGCTAAATCTGTTCCACAGATGTTTTTGAACAGACCCCAAAATGTTATTTACTTTATTATTATTATTATTATTATTTTATTTTATTAGTGTGAAAAGTCTCAGTAGGGTAGCCCTGTTAGTCTGGAGAAGTGGGTTGTGCCCACGAAAGCTAATTATACTATCTACATTTTTTGTTAGTCTCAGGTGCTACAGGACTATTTGTTTTTTAAAAAATTTCAATTACAGACTAACATGGCTACCTCTCTGAAACTGTAAAAATAAGGAGTCTTTTGGCACCTTAGAGATTAACCGATTTATTAATGCATTAGTTTCTAAGGTGCCACAGGACTCCTTGTTGATTTATTATTATTAATAATATTTTATTATTTTTAATCATTATTTTCTCTGGGATCTGGATCTTGACAATGCTTTGAAATTCAGAGAAGTCATGAAATCTAATTGGAATTCATGAGCTGACATACATATTCCCAAACTGTCACAGTTAAGATAAATTTAGGTTAACAAGATTTTGTTGAAAACCAAAGCTTTGGAATAATAAAATGTATTTAAATATATGTTATCCAGGGGTTGATTTAATGTTGTCTTTAAAAGCAAGTGTAGTCTTCGGTGACTAATTCTATGACAGTTTAAAATGTGACTCTGCTGAATTATCTCAGTATAAGCACAATAAAACTGGTCACTACCCTAGCAGACGTGAGAAGATCTTTTCATTTTGATTTGCTAAGGTTTTCACAAGACTCTTGACATATAGTCTGTGTGTGCAGGTCTAATTTTTAGCCTTACCAGTCTCAACTTTGTGTATTTTTAATGTGACTCAAATCTAAATTATGTGTTTGGAATGACCAAGCTATATTTCAGAATGCTCAAGCGAGTCTTTCATGTCATTTGATTGCAGATGAGATTGTGGCTTTCTTTTTTTCAGATAATGTGGTGAGAAGGTTTGAGTTTGGTTTAATAAAATGAAACAAGATAGTTGGCTAGAGGTAACTAGTGTTGCATGTGGCATGTGCTACTTCTTTCCATGTTTGGATGGGGCCTATGTAAGTGCAAAAACATATTGCTGTTACATGTATTTTAAATAAGAGATTATTTTAAATTTACAATACATGTATAGGATTACAGTGTCTTGTGACCATGCTGACCAATATTATTCATTTTTCACTTGTGTATTCATCCTCCTCCATTTATTTGCTATAGCTCCCTGTCGATTGTTTCATATTTAGTATGTAAAACAGCCCTGCACAACTTGGAAAGTGGCGAGGGCCATATTACTCCAAAGAAAACAGCTGTGGGCCGCAAGTAGGGATGCTCTTTCAAAAAATATCAAAAACGCGGGCTGAAAATTTGTGTTGAGTAAAAAAAAAAAAACAAAAAAAAATCCCATGCGTGTCTCCACTTGGCCCCCTGGCATTTGTCTCTCCTGCACCCTGCCCCTTGGTGCCTTCCCCTTTCTCCTAACCTGCCCCCCTCTCCTCAGCACAAGCTCCTTCTCCTCCCCTTCCTGGCTTCTGCCTTCCAGGTTGCAGGGCTGCTGGAGCCTCTTTGAATCCAGTGGTTGCCGGCTGTGATGTCACGAACCACATCACGCCAGCATCCTGGCATCTGCCGGTGTCCCACCCTCTGGGTCGCACCCCACTCCTCGTGCCAGAGCTGCATGCAGGCAGCCCGGCAGCGAGAATCACTGCACTTCCCCCTCCCTGGCGGCGCTCCGCTTCTCCACCCGGCCGGCGGATTGGATGGGGCCGCACTGCCCGTAGTCGGCACGGACCGCACAGTGAGCCATGCGGGCCGCATGCGGCCCTTGGGCTGTATGTTGTGCCGTCCTGATGTAAAACATTTGGTGTGAGGACAGTCTCATTTCTGTGTTTAGGATCTACTCCAGAGGATCCCTGGTCTCTAGTTCCTACACACATTACAAATAAGTAATTTTAACTTCTCATTTTAAGAAGGATCAAAGTGATGGCCTGACAAACCAAAGAACACAGCTGCTATTATTTTTAAGCAAATCATAAAATATAAGCTGAAAAACTGATGTTCAAGTTTCAAATTAGAGGTTGGGTTGATTGTTTTACCAAAGGCTCAGATGCTCAGCATAGGCTCACAGGCAACTGGTGCCTGCGGGGAGGGGGCAGGGAGGTCCACCTGGGGGTTAGGGAGGGGACATGTGGGGGCACCCCATTTAGCAATTAATAGGAACTGTAAGGAGTTAGCAAATCTCTAAATAAAATACAAACAGGAAAGAAAAATAATATGATGCAGACTTTTTGTCTTTAGTATCGGAGAGCCAAATCTAATTGCTAAGACTGATACTATCAAGTATCCTTGGTAAGTGCACATGGGGCTGACTAGGTTAGTTAGTATAAGGGGTAACTGGTTAACAGATGCCCGTCCCAGTCAGAGTAGTCCAGGTGGACTTGCCGTGCTGCACCACAGGTGGAGGGAGTACTGCTCTAGAATTGCCA